CATAAAGTATAAAAACCTAAATATTAATCAGAAATTGTTTAGGCCGACTTTTAGTTTTTCATACTAAAAAGTTGCCATTCATTCATGTATATATATATATATTGATTATTTATTCTTTCTTTCATGTGTTTAGTTGGTTAATGTGCAAACAGAAATATCTGAATTAAGTAAAGATATTCCGAGATTACTTGAAACAAGTGGTGTACGTGGAAAAAAGTTTACTAAAGCTATTGATAATTTTTCATATAATCTTGCTCTATTACATGGTCAAACTGATTTATTAAATAAAGCTAAACAAGATGCAAATATAACTATTCAACAAGTAAAAAATATCAATTATTTAAAAAAAATATGCAATTCTTTTTTTGTTTTTCTTTTTATAAAGATTTTTGAAGCTGCTGAAACAACGAATTTACTTGTAGAATCTGATCAATAATGAGAAACAAATATCATACTTCAGTGTTCCACTTGTTCTAAATTTTAAAAATATGTTATTTTTCTCCAGTTTATATATATATTTTTTTACCTGTAATTAGACATGTATATGTATATATTTTTTTTACAATCTGAATAAAATTATCCTTCAATTTGATTATTAAATAAATCAAGCGTCTTGCGCATTTATTATTTCATCGATATACAATAAAGTATAATGATAATACGATGTGGGTATGGGTTCTCGGCGGAGGATAAGTATCAAGATATGACCTACCATCACACGCTTATCTCAATATCCCGAGCTCTATAGATATGTGAGTATCAAGTTGGATATTAATCTTGTCACACCACCTTCACTCAAAATCGTAAATTGATCGACATATAGATATTGCAAATTTATTAGATGAATAACCTGATAGTTATGTTTTTAATGACAATATCTATGTTATGAATTCTATGGCATACTCTGTGAGAGACCTCGCTTTTTCTTTCTCATCAACATTATTATTGAGTAAAAATCGTCTAACATATGGATGAACATTTCATAATATCACACTCAAAAACAAATCATCTGAATAGAGATGTGTTCCATCGAAATACATAACTATTGCATAGCAGAATGTATTTGAACATAAAGCAAAAAAGAAATAGTTGCATCATAAACATGACAAGCGTGTGTCAATAAAAACAATTGTTTCGAAAAATCTCTTGAAAAAGTTGAAAAAATTATACATAACTTAATACTGAGTTAAAAATTTGGTTGACTTTTTTTTCATGCAAATAATTAGTTATATGCTGCTTTCTCAAAAAAACTCTCAATAGAATTTCCAGTAATCTATAGTTAGAACATTACATTTATCGCCATCATATTACTTTATTCAAATATTAGTCTAGCTTCTATTTTTTTGGTAGGCGGTCGAGGAATATTAGCTGCTTTGTTTTCAATAAAAGTTCGAATGTTTTTGTAATCTATTCATTCAACGAACAATGCATTGTACTGTGTATGGTTGTTCGTTTTGTCCAAATATAGTTTGTGAGTAATATCGATAGTAGTTATGATCTTTCACTTTATAGTGTTTCTTGGTTTTTCTCTATATCTATAACTATGTTCCGTATCTGTGAAAATCAAATTGATGGTCTGTGAAAATATTGATTTATTGCTTTTTTCTTTCTATGCTTCAAAGTTCTAATTGACGAACATCCACAGATTCAGTGGTAGGCGAAGAGCTCAAGGCGATCGCCTCCACTGGAACTTTGTTGATAGAAAGAAATTTTATATTTTTGTTTTCAATAGTTTCAATGCCATCTGTATATAATAGTCAAATTCATCCCGGAACTTTTCTTACTTTTTGATCCATATAAATCAATTGAAACAGCATAACGAAATATGTTCTTTAAATGCTCGGTCATGAATCAAATGTCATAATAATCATTTTGTTCTGTCATTCCAAAAAAACTCAGCCAACTGGAGGAAGAGACAAGATAATGTATCTGACGTCAATAAATACCTTGCTAGATAATTCTTTATCGAAACTATTAGCTAATTCAGTGTCGAAAAGATGATATAAGATATGAAAGAATGATGAGAGAGAAAGGCTCCTGGATGGGTTCGAAGAGTTCATCCAAAAATAATAGTGCACAGTGACATTTGATTCAATAATGATGAATGGAAACTATTAAGTGTCACAATTAATGAATAAAACAAGGTCATCTGTTCACCGATTGATAAACGGATACTGATTTGCACACGTCACAAGAGCACAATAAAATGATATTCATCAGTTCTTATGGTTCTTGTGAAGCATAGAAAAAAAAACTAAAAAAAAAGTGGCATTTCTGACGATGAACGAACATAAAAAAGTAATTGCAATAATTTTTATCTGTCTTTCGTCATTGTAATGAATCTTTTTCGATTTTTGTTATCACTGTGAATATTGCTCCTCTCTTCACCTATTTGTAAGAGCTTTTCTCACTTTTTTTTCCTATAAATTGAATGAAATAACATTACAAAACACATTTTTCAGATGCCAGCCTTTGAATCTGATAATATTATAGTCATTTTCATTCTGTTATCCCTAAAACTTTCACTATTATTATAAAGAGTTTTATTTGAATGAATCAACCTGAATAGTCTTGAGCACTTACATTCTGTAAAAGTTTTCTAATACATATTACAGAACAATAAAGAAAAAGATACATTTAAAAGGGTAGAGTGAAATTACAATTAGAAGATACAGAAAACTACATCACGATCAGTGAAAAAAGATGGAAGAGTCTTGATAGAAATGGTTCAGGCAAATGCTAGGTCATCCTCTAGGGAATGGTTGAATACAAGCTTTTTCTATAGAGTGTTGACATGTTTTATTCATAATGGTTTTATTTATGATATAACGAGTAATTAATAGTTGTTTATGTTGCTCAATATTTTAAAGTCATTTTCCCTAAGCTATTCTCATACTTCGCTTCTTAGGGTGTGGATGTGGATGAAGATATGATATATAGACGTACACTGGAACTCACAATGCGAACTGTTTAGTATATGTCTACACTAATAGATATACTTTGACCTATTGTGTCTAGATTCATGTTTTTCTTGGTCGATAGACAAGGTTTTATTCTTAATGCTGAAAGCCAGACAAGGTTCTTGTAGTAGGAAAGGAAAAAAAAGAGTTTTGCCTGACCTTCGCGAGACAAGCGTAATATGATGTCTTTGTGTACATATCTTTAAATATACATCAGATCTGTACACTATTTTTATACGACGATTGTTTATAGTTCTTATGTTCAATTAAACGAATAAACAATATTCTTTTCATATAACATATGAGTCATCTGTCAATATCATACATCACATAAAATATTTAATAGTAATTTGTCAATCAAGTTTTAGAATTTAAAAAACAATTCCTTAACGATAGATCAATCAATATCAGCTGCAGATGATAAATATAAAGAAAACGATTGATAATAATAAGTATGTATTGTTATTATTCATTGTTTTCTCAAATAAATATGTCAGATTCAAGAACAGAAAAAGAATCCTGTAAGAATTCAAAAATTTTTATGTGAAAACAAAATTCTTGCCTTATCAGTGAAGTTTTACTCTACAGGAATCTCGTCAGAAAGTCAAGATTTATTGTGTTTTAGGCAAGAATATGGATTATTGTAGTAATAAATCAATCTCTTATCTGATTGCAATACTACAAAAACAATTCATGTAACAGAAAAAAAATAATAAACGATTAAGACTAATAACAAAGTTTATGATTGTTGACGATTTGACACTATGGAATTTATTTCTAATATTTTTTTGACTAAAAATACTCGTGATTCACTCAAGAAATATGCTTTGAAGTGAAAAATCATTTTTGTTGCACTTTCTCATTGTCGTTTTTATTTATAATCAATTTAGATTCTCAGTACTATTATATTAGAGAAAAGCTTTGATAAGAAATGTATACATAATCAAACAAGAAAATCGAAATTCGTCGGTTGTCTTTTCATATTAACTGACAAATACATCATATAACAAGACAAATATTAGTGTTGAGTAATGGATTGATATTATTACTTTTTCCTATAATTTCTTTTGGCACTAGTTTTTATGGAATATTGTGGTATATTGATATCTTGGGAATAAATGCCAGTCAATAAATTGAAAGAAATGTATACAAAGAGTTTTACAAAGAAAAAGAAAATAATATCTAATTTTTATCTGTAAAAATAATAATTTAATAAGATTATTCGTTGTTCTTTTTTTTCCGAACATAATTCATATCATTTATCCTAATTTTCAATGTTACTGATGTATCTTTCATATAAACTATGAAAATGTTTCAATTAATACATACATATTCTAAGAAAAATATTCATATCTTTTTACTTATCTAATTCTAGTACGAATATCCTTGATGGAGTGTTGACAATAAATATATCAACATCATTATATTCTAACGTTTATCGAACCATTACATTCCCAAGATGCATATATTGGTTCAGCAGTTATATTTCAAGATATAAATGCCATCTGTTATTTCAGAACTCCATGATATTGAATTCTATGAAGGTAATAGCTATGTCGTTTGACACTTGGATCTGTACAACTAAAGGAAACAGTATTTTTTTTTGTGATAATGCTATATGAATAAATGATTTTGACATCATATCTAATCAATAGCAATATGGTAAAAAGTATTGAGAAAAGGGAAAAACATGCATTATACGGTTCTTTTTTTGCTATGGTATATGAGGCAGTAAGAGAAGAAGAAAAGAAAACAGAAGAATATAAAAGATATCCAACGGTTTTCTATAATGATAACATCTTTTTTGGTATACGTAAGATCTAATACTGTGGTATTGTCTTGTCTATTCTCTATTCTTTTTCTTAAGATCTCCTTGAGATTTGATGATGGAGAAACTAGTTATTTGTTTAGAAGACAAATCATTGTCTTGTTTATATCAGTCTCGATTACTTAAAACAAAGAGAGACTAAAATATTAATCGAATAAAGATTGTTTCTTTCTTTTTTTGACAATATTATTTTGTCTTTCTTAGACATAACGATGTCTACGGAATACAAGCCACGTCTTACCGAATCCTTACAAGCATCCTATTTAATACGTGAAGGCCACCCAGTTAAACTTTCATGTCGATTTGATGCTTCTCCTACAGTTGATATTCAATGGCTCAAAGATGGAATTCCGATTGATTTTGAAGCACTTGGTATTTCAAGAGATTTTAAGGTTTATTGTTTTTTCTTTATTTTAAAAAAAAAACGACTAAAATAATTATTTGCTTATTGTTCTTTGTTTTTCTGAAAAAAAAAGGTTGTAAAAGAAGTCGATTATACAGCATTGTTAATTATGGAAGCATTTCCAGAAGATACTGGCTCATATACAGTTATTATTCGCAATTCATTTGGTGAAGCATGTTCATCTACACAGTTAAATGTTGAAGAATTTTTTTGTCGAACACCGTAAGTTTATTAAAATTTCAAGATAAAACAAAAATGTTTTGAACTGTTAAGAGAATCAGAAATGTCTGATACACCATGTAAACCAGTTTTTGTTCAACCACTTCTTGATACAACAATAAATGAAGGAGAAAAATTAAAATTACATGCAGCAATCAATGCTCATCCTGAACCTGAAGTAAAAATAAATATTCTTTTGTATTTTTGTTTTGTTTTTGTTCTTTTGTAAAATAATTATTTTTATTTAAAGATTATTTGGTATCATAATAATATTCCATTAAAAAATTCTCGTGATTTAACAATGACGTTTGATGGACAATTATGTAAATTAATAAAAGACCGATCTGAAAAAGAAAATGATACTGGAACATATCGTATAACAGCTGTTAATTCAGTAGGACAAGCTGAATCTATTTGTCAAGTTACTATACAATCAAATGAAACGAAAGCATTTCGTGAACGTCTTCAATCAACATGTTCACCACCAGTTTTTACTCAATCATTACAAGATAAAACATTTCACGAAGGTGAAAAACTTGTTTTTCAAATACATGTTAATGGACAACCAAAACCACAAGTTATGTGGTACAAAGATAATCAACCACTGCGAAATACACATGATCATAAAGTATACTTTACTAAACAATAGATTCATGAATAAAAAAAAAAAACATCATTCTTTTTTTTCTTAACTATAGATTCGAACTGAAGATGATACTTGTATACTTGAAATACTGAAATTATCAATGAATGATGCTGGCCTTTATATAGTTAAAGCAATTAATAAAGAAGGTGAAGCGAAATGTTCAGCAAAAGTAACTATTTTACCAATAAATATTGTTCCTGAACCTATGATTATTGAATCAAATGGTTATGCACCTGAATTTCTTCAATTATTTAAAGATCAAAAAACATCTATTGGTTCAACAATTAAATTTGAAGCTCGAGTTACTGGTACAAAACCAATAAACGTAAAGTATCTATTATAAATAAAACAAAATATTTAATCTTGTCCTTTTGAAGGTCTATTGGCTATATAATGGAGCACCAATAGCTCTGTCAGGAAACAATCGACGTTATCAGCTAAATGTTCTTAATGATACTTATACATTAATTATACATAACGTACATTACGAAGATGTTGGCAAATATACTTTAAATGCAGAAAATTCTTGGGGAAAAGCAACTTGTACTGCGGAACTTTTTATATCTCCAAGTGTTTCAATATTTGGTAAGAAATAATCATATAAAATTTATTATTATTATTTCCAACCAATACACATTGCTCTACCTACTGCACGCTAATGCTTTTTTTTGTTGGACAGACAGTATTCATTTATATTACGAAATTAAAAAAAAAAGAGTACATCGTCTTTTTCTTTATTTTTTATTTTTTGCTTCATATATTTATTATTTTGAATGCATTGCTTCGCATCTGCTTTGTGAATGCTCTTTTACCGTCGATGAAAATAATACAAGGCAAATAAATACTTCATTGCACGTATTTATGGTCTTGATCTTCTTTCGTTAGCTTATTAACAATAGAATAGATCTATAATAGAGAGCCCTTGAGATCAATAAAAAGCAACATATCTTTCCCTTTTTTTTTGTCTTTGTATTGTCAACAAATGTTGTTTGTCCGCCTACAGACTCGTACTTATACGAATGTCGACCGCCATTTTTCTTTTCCTTCTTCTTCTTTTACATTAGTAACAAGCAAGCAAGCAAGGAAGAAAGATAACAGAACATTTTCTCCATATCCGTCTTGATTCTATTGTCGCCATCGTCATCTGTGCCAAGATTTATACTTGTTTGTATAACGTCCTAGCTAAGAAAACGAACGGCTGATGGAAGAAAATAAGACGATAAAACAGAAAAGAAGTTGCTCGATGTCTATCCGTTCCATCTTCTAGCCGTTTATTCTCTGTACATAAGCATGATAAAAAATGGTTGGAAATATATGTAGATGATGTACACATCGTCTCATGGATCATGATTGATTCTAGAAAATAACATAACATATTTAGGAAAGGAGAAGGAAAAAAAAGATAGAAAAGGAAATATATTCTCATTGGAAAGAAGAAAAAAGAAAAAAAAAGAAGCGAAGGAACATATCCGAGCTGTACAACATCGTATCAGTCGATTTTGGTTCTTTGTCTCTGTGAGAAGTGGTCATTATTTTTTTCATGTCGCTATTATACAAATTATGCATCTAGGATCTACTTCTACACCGGCATCACGTGTTCAAATGAGGACAGTTACAAGTCGAATTACAAGTAGCGGTGGTACTGGCGATACCAGTAGAGGTAGGCAGTTTTTTCAATAAGAAACATATCAACCCATGTCATCGATTCTATCTATTCATCGTCCTTTTTTCTTTCTTATTTTTTTTTGTGGGTCTTTGTACTGATGGTTACTCAAATAGAACTAAACCTGTTTTTTATTCTAAATATACATGCATTTGTCTTAGTTTGTTGCTTGATGCTCGCTTTCAGCACTACTGATGATGTACTCTCTTGTCTATGATCTATGAATGACAAACAAAGAAAACTTTTCTATTCAACAAATATTGTTGAATACTGTCTTATCGCAATGCCATACATGTACACCCCGACACTAGACTAGTAAATAATAACAATATATAAGTCTCTGTATATCTTCATAAAAAGGCGTCGACAATAATAGGAACACGTTGTCCAATTTATTGGTTAAAATGTCCCCGTCTCCACCTTCATCACATAAAAGACAAAATCAAACTGCACAACAATCACTCATCAATACACATTCATTGAAGCAACCATCATCATTGATTTCTTCAAACAATACTAATAAACGATATCGTCCTTCACAAAGTCTATCATTAACACGTACAAATAATTTTCAACATGTTCGACAATATCCTATGAAATTAGAAATATTTAAGCCTTCAAGTACAAATAATCGAGAATATGAAAAACAAACTACCATAATACGAAATTATGACTATGAAATTCAAAATCGACAACGTTCATCATCAGAAAATAAAAAACAACAATATAAAAATGATTTTAATATGGAACAAGAATATTTACGTTGTTTAAATGATGTAAAAAATGAATATGAAAATTTACAACGAGAAAAAAAATCTTTTGATAATCGAAAAAATAAAACTACATATGAAACAACAAAACAATATGAAAATGTTGAAAAAACTTATCATCATCATCATCATCATCAACCAAGATCAATAAATAAAATTCAAAATAATATTTCAAATCAAACAGAAACTAATAATACTTGTCAACGTTCATTATCTGAAACTTTACTTCATAAAAATTTCAAACCAATAATAAAAACAGATATAACATTAAGTGATGAAAATTTAAAAGCAATGGAATATTGTCTTCAACATCAACAACGTTTAATAAAACCTATTCATATTCATTCATCAGCAAATTTTATTCCAGGTGAAAGAAGTATTAAATATGTTCATACGGAACGTTCACCTGTTGAAATTATTCTACCAAAACCTCAAATCACAAAAACACATGAAGAACATACGTCAGCAATAGTTAAAGATATTCGAAATACAAATCGTGGAACAATGACAACTATTCATCAAAAACCACGATCACGATCTATTGAAGGTGAACGTGAATTACGTATTTTTCAAAAACCAATTGAAACATTACCTATTGAACAATTGTCAACAAATGTTATTAAATCAAAAACAAGTGATCATTTGCATACATTCAATTTGAATAATACATTAACACGTCAACGTACACTTTCGGGTGAATATAAATTTCGTAGAATACCCGAACCAATGCAAACAAATTTATATAATCAACAAGTTAATTTATTATTTCCTAAATCAACACATCATTCATCAACAATAGTTAAACAAAATCGTATACCTAAATCAAGTATTGTTCTTGATAATATACAAACAAAATTAAAAGGTGAACATGACTTACGTTTAGTTGATAAACCAATACAAGCAGGTCCAAGTAATAGTGTAGAATTAGTTGTACCAAAATCTATAACAAAAATACCTGAACATACAACAACAATTGTTACGGAACAACAACCACATAGACGTGTTTTACAAGTAACTGGTAGTGGAAAAAAACAAAAAAGTGAACATGAAACAAAATATTTTCATGATACTGTTCGTATTGAAGAAGAAATTGAAGTTAAATTACCAAAAACAAAACTTGAACAAGTTGAACATTCAGCAACAATTATTAAACATAATCGTGGTAAAGCACCTATTATTGAAATTGATGCAACACAAAAAAAAATTGAAGGTGAACATTTAATAAAAATTTTAAACGAACCAATTGAAACAACACCTGATACAATGCAATTATTAGTTAAAAAACCTAAATTATCAGCTGAATATAGTACAACAATGATCAAAGAACAACATAAGCAACAGCAGCAAATATTAACAACTGATCGAACACAACCAATACCTGGTAAAAATGTTTTTTTTTTTAAACGAACTTTTTCTTTCTAACTATTATCTTATTGATTAGCTGAACATCAAACAAGATATCATGATCGACCTATTGAATCATATGAGAAAATGGACGTTTCATTTTCTCAACAACAACCTATGCATAGAAAACCATTTATTTATGATGATCGTCGTAATGAAATACTTCATCAACATTCTTTAACTCTAATTGATAATTCAAATTACAAAACTGATAAAGGAACTGAATTAATATCATCAAAACAACCAAAAGGACGGTTTGTTGATCATTATAAATCGGCTAATGACCATAATGAAAGGTTTGTTTCATCAACCATTAATGAAGAAGAAACAATTAGTGAACATAAAACAACATATCTTAAACAAACACATCCTAAATATGGACCTGTTGAATTAGTTGTCGATCGACCAACAATATTACCAAGTGTATCAAAATTAATAGCTGATATTCCAGCATTACCACAAATAACATCAATAAAATCAACAGAAATTCTTTCATCAGAAAATAATTCAATAGAATTCAATAGTAATAGTTATAAATCCTATGAACAATATGATGAAATGGAAATTATTGATGAAAAACCATCTATACACGATAGTTCAAAAATATTAATAACTAATATTCAACCATCAAAACCTACTCCATATCTACAACAACCAATTGAAGATTCTAGTACAAGTTTAACTATGGAATTAAATCGAAATCAACAAATAGAACCATTTGAATTAATTATACCACGTATTGATATGGAATCATCGACAAGTACAATACTAGCTGATGTATCACCGGTAATTGCTGGTTTACATGCTAAAATTGATATACCATCAAATATTGAAAAATTAACATCAAGTTATATATTTGAACAAACAAAACCGTTAAATAATGAAATTGAATTAATTATGCCAAAACCAAAACATATTGAAACAAGTACATCAACAATGATAGCTGATGTACAAGCTAAACTTGAAACAAAAGATATACGTCCAAATGAAATTCAACCTGAAACATCAACAACAACATATTATTTTGATAAAACAATTGATACGATTATACCAGAACCTGTTGAATTACGTATGAAACAACCAATTATAGGTGATAGTTCAACAACAGTTATTGCTAAAGTTGCATCACCTTTAGATACAAAACCAATTCAACTACATACGAATACCTATCGACCATTAGAACATAGTTTATCAACTATGCCATATGAAACAATATTTCAACAAAATCAATCATCCAATATTGAGTCTATTCTTTCGCGTCCACAAACCCAAGAGAGTACATCTATCACATTAACTGATATTCAACCAACATTTAATACATCACAAAAATATATTATTGTAGCACCACCCCTTGAAAATCCTTTAGAATCGAGTAGTCAAATGATTTTAGAAGAAAATAATATAGAAACAGAAACAGTAGAATTAAATTCATATCAACAATCGAGTTCACATACACCTTTGGCTAAATTAGATGATACATCGAGAGAAAACGAAGTAATGTATGTTTTAGGTTTTGATAATCAACAACAACAACAACAACAATATGCTCCATCAACAATTCTTGCTAATTTAAATAAACCAGTGGAATTCGTCTTTAATGTTGAAAATGATAATACATCAGAGATATCTCAACAATATCGACAAGATTATAGTACAAGAATGGTAACAAGTGCTATGGATCGAATTACTAATGGTGCAACATCAAATACAGGTAAATTATTGCTAGTAGATATGAAGAAAAAAAAGAATTCACGATACAGAATCGTTCATCACTATCATTCTATTCTCATATTTTCTTCTGATTAATGGTTGAACATAAAAAATGTTAAGTCTAAAGAAATATTTAATTAATATCTGAAAGACGAAAAAGATAAATAAACTACTATTCATTTTCAAAGATAATATATCAAATGTTTTTTCGAATAACTTTTAATTAGAACATCATAGAGACCTGCGATTTTCACCATTCAAAAGACAAGACCTGAGCGTTTCAAATTTGATTGGTCACTTATTGAATTAATCAATGTTCAATAGATTTCAATGACATTCTCTCTTGAATGATGAAAACCCGCAGGTCTCCGTCATGTTCCAATCTAAAGTTATTGAAAAAACAGTTGCGTAGATTATATTTGGAAAAGTATAGTAGACAGACACTTGTGATGAATTTGTCCTATATACACAGACACATTAGATGTTGATTTATCCTCTATCAGTTATAGGGCACATTACAGTGGCATTTTTCTTTCTACGTGCTTGCATACTATATATATTAGTTTGTTCCTTTTTTGTTTGCGTGCCATACTTATATATAAATATACATTGGTTATCAATAGTATGCAACAAGCTCTATTTGCAGTTTTTTGTCTACTAGCACAAGCGTTAGAAAGAAACCAAATAGCGACTCAAATAGAGAAAATTGTGTCGAAAAGGAACATAAGAAAATAAGGACTATCATCAGATTCTTAAAGACAGGCACTCCAGATAACCAAAAGGCCTTGTTTGTCAATACCTAGAAGGGTTAAATATAACTTTATTTAGATTATATAGAACGACAGAACAAATAATTCTTTACAATATCAGATGTCTCTGAGTTCTCTGTTGAGATACGACAATCTTACGAAAGCTCCTTACGTTGTTTTTTTCCCGATTTTCTATAGAAATATCATTTTTTGATCTCCTTCAATCAAATTGCTCTATCTCAGTCAAAATACGTCGTAGAAAATTCGGCGATGTCTTATTTTTTTAGAGAATGGTTTACTCGACCGTCTATGTAGTTTGAACAAAATTATATTTACGTTCTCTAGATATTGAAAAAATAGAGTTTTGTTTGAATTACTATCTGAGCCTTTTGTAACGCTTACGGCAGAAGAAAAAAATTTCAAAATAAACTTTATTGAATAATTTTGCTACTCACCGGATATACATATATATGTTCTTCTCTTTTTTTTGTGTCTTCTTTCAATAAAATTGAACTCACGTTCGCAAAACTAACAAAAAATTGATAGCATTCGTTAGAGATGTGTGAAACCAAGTTTTTTTTGGTTGCATATAATTTATAAGATATCTTGATTAAAATCATAGCACATTTAACTTTAATCTATATGGTACCAGTAGTTTTCTTCTGGTGGTCACGGTAAGCCGAACTGGAACACTAATGTTGATTCTGCATGTCCCTAGTCCTAATCCGTGTAATATCATAAATGTCCTTCTCGAATCATCTTTACAGACAAAACTTACAGTAATACATGTTGTTCCAAATGGAAATTGATGGATCATTCTAGCTTATTTATTAGTTTAGTCATTAGTAAAGAAATGTTTGTTATATTAAAAATCAAATGAGCTGTTCACATTTTATTCTTTAAAAATGAAATAATCGACTCAGTATTAGTAACCTAATTCATTGGCATCATGAAACCATAATTAATGTATTTTATGATCAATAGGATATCTAATAGGTGAAATTAATTCGGTCTTTAAAACAAACGAATTCTACTTAGAAAATAACTAATACTATCGATGAATTATAACACTCTTACGAATATTAGGTCCTTGGATTGTAGTTTCACTGATGACACTTCTTACGATTGAGAACACATGGTTCTGTCAATTATTTATGATAGTTGTACTCAGCTTTGATTGTTCTATCTAGAACAACTATTAGATTCTATCGATTTTAAAGAAAAAAGTCTTAGTATTGATCGGAATTTTTGAGTCTCACACAAAATTCCAACAATTTCGTAACTTGTTTTTCTTAAATATATATAGAACTCAGAGACTAGCATAGAGTAGCGTATTACAAATATTGATGAAGACTTGTAGTTCTCAATATCAAAAAGATATTGTCTTTGGGTATGGATGCACTAATTTCTAAAACTTTCACTCAACAATAATGTATCTCTCTGCTTTTGACAATCCACAGATTCATGTCTATTGTTCATATCAACTGTAATGAACGTTGAATGCTTTTGTTTGATTTCTTTCAATATGAAAAAGATGATACAGATTTAATTTGATTTTATCTTCGATCTATTCCAAAACGACTCCTTTTTCTTGATTCGGTAGCATCTAATAATAGCTTCTGATGGAGCTGACCTATTGAAACGCAGCACAACTGTTACACACACTTGGTAGGTTAGTTGATTCTCAATGGTAAAGTATGTCATCTTTAAAACTATCATCCAGTGACTGTTGCATCCTCTATACTTGATTAACATGTGGTACATCAAGAACTGTCAGAATAGTGTAGAAAAAAGTCAATATAACGATAATATTTAAACTAGGAGAAGGTCAAAGAAAACTTCTGTTTCCATTGCAACCTTTATCATCCACGTAGAGTTCTTTCGTTTCAAAAACAGCATAAATTCACATATTTGGTAATAGGCTTCCAATTAATTATAAAATAAGTTCAATATAATGGAAAAAAAGTGTGTTGATTTTATTCTTTCGTCAAGAAAAAGCTATAGGAAGGAAATCATGATGTCTCATAAAGTTTGATCAACGATTTGCATGATCAAGAAATCCAAATATGTAATTGATTTCTCGATCAAGTGTTCTAAAGTAGTCTTTGTTGCACTGAGAAATCAAGTATATAATGCCAAGAAGCCAATGACAGAGTCGGATTTCTCGACCCCAAAAACCCTCAATCAAACTTAATAAAGAATCATTTATTTTGAAAAATAGCTTCATAATTTCAGAAGAAAGCACAAATGACTCAAATCCTTGTAGAACTTTTATCTGCACCATAGGCCCTAAGAATCATTAGAATATGAGCTTAAACAGGAGATTAGCAGTTAGAAAAGTTCCGACCTTAGTCGACTAGTCCCTTTTTAATGGCTAAAATATTAAAAGTTAATTTGCTTTTAAATTTGATAAACGAGCGGTGTGCGGAACTAGAACTGAACCAAAATGAACTTGGACCAGCAGATCTCTATCATACACTAATCATTTTCTTACTAAATCAACTAAACGGATCAATTTATAGACATTTTGAGGAACAAGTTTTATTCTATGCTTTGCACTCACAAACAGATCGGCGAGAATATTTATCATACAAAATAAGTCAGGATTTTTAGGTCACTTTCTAATGTGTATTCCTTCTACGGATATGTTTAATCCTTTACCCGCCACCACGATTCCAGAAAAGTCATTGAAAAAAAGAACTTCATAAAAAGAGTATCAGCCTGTCTAATATGATATCATGTGGCTTTATCCATGGAATGTTCATATCTTTATGTATAGCCATTTGATTTGTCCAATGACTGCGCACTAGTGAAAGAGAATTTAACGACGTATTACGTCTGAATTTTTTTTTCCCTTGATCAGATTATTGAGTAGGCAAAAGCAACATCAATCTCATGCCATTTTATTAAAAAAAAAAGCGAACCGAGAAAAGCTAATCTCAAAAGAATGCATATGTTGTTAAATAAGTATCTACTTTGCTTAACATATATTAACCTTGTTCTTGATTGTATTTTAATAATATTAATATCTGATATAATTCAAATATTTACATTAGAAATTGTACCAACTCAATTTAAACCAATTGAATTTATTGTATCAGGTGGTTTAACTGGATATAATAATGCAGTTGAACAATATACAACTGGTGATGATGGTAGTTATACAACAACAACAACGACAACAAAACGAATAATAACATCATCAGATAAACCAGGATATGAAACAATAAATCGATCAGTTGTACGTGGTATAAGACCATTTGATCAAGTTGATTTAGTTTTACAACCTGATACTTCAATATCATCAACATCATCTAAAATTTTAACAACAAGTGTTGGTTTAGATTCAAATCATGCGCCATATTTTGTTCTTTCATTACGTGATCAAACAGCAAAAGAAGGTGAATCTGTTCTTTTTGAAGTTATTGTCTCTGGTAAATATTAAAAAAAATTTAATGATTTGATTTCTTTTGAAAAAAGAATTCTATTTTATTTAAAGCTCAACCATCAGCTGAAATTGTTTGGGATAAAGATGGTACATTAATTGGAGATGATTCAGCATTTCGTATTGATTATTATGGTGATGGTCGTGCAACACTTTATATACCTGAAGCATTTTTTGATGATCAAGGTTACTATACATGTACAGCAACCAATTCATTGGGTACATGTCGTACAACAGCACGTCTTACAATGGATTGTAAGTATAAATGAAAGCTTTCTTTTTGTTTTTTTATTCTCAATTTGTAATAAATCATTTTGTTTTATTTAGCAGCTGCTGGTATATCACCAAAACGTCGTCCTTTAACTGATTCATCAATGGTTTATTATGAACAAGGACCAACACAAGTCATAAGATCCTATCAAGTTTATTCACAACCATCAACAACAATAACAGAAGTTACAGAACAAACACAAGTTTATGAAATACCAGGTCAACAACAACAACAGCAAAATCAAATAACATATACAATTGAAGGAACACAACCAAAATTTCAACCAGTTTCATTTCTAGTTTCAACTAGTGAAGAAAATCAACAACCAACAACAAGAACAAGAATTACAACTGATGAAGAAAATCAATCAATAACATTTAGTCCATATCAAAATTTTATTAGTCAATTACGTACTCGACCTAATCAAGGTGTTTTACCATCGTATGGAGATGAAACTAGAACAACAACAACTACTACTGTATACTCTCAACAACAACAACAACAACCACGTAGTAGTGGTCTTATTGCAACTGTGGCTAAACAACCAGGTCCAGCAATTACTCAGTATCAACAATCCTATTCTCAAGAACTTGAGGATATGCAAACAGAATCAGAAACATCAATGGTTCGTGCTATTCGTTCAACACAACAACAACCTACTTCAACTTCATATATTTCTACACGACCTACCTTTACAAAAGTATGTTAATAACTTAATATAAAACTATAAATTGAATATTATATTTTTATTCTATAGAATTTACATTAGGTTTATAGAGAATCATCTTCAAGAACTCTAGGAAAAACTGTTTTTTTTCGAAATTTCAACTTGAAATTTTGCATAGAGACAAGCATGAACAAGAATAGTTTAATTTCACAATTAGAAACGTTCACTCGTTAGACTGTTCTCCAACATTTCATAGGTTTTCTCACAATTTGAATGGCTAAAATATATTTGTGAGTGTTCTAAGCAATGCAGTTTTTGACTTTTGGGAGGATAAAATTCATATTCAAGATGTCAACGATGATGAATAGTAATGCATTACTTTGTCATGGTCAAAATACAAAAATGAAAAGCAACAAGGCTAACAAAAAAAAAACAACGCTAGTAAAGAAAAAAAAATTTTGTTCGAGATGCAGACATAAAGAAGACAGATCGTTTCCCCTAGGGACGTATTTTCATTGGATGAAAAACTTATCAGTTAATGCATTTTGTATCAGTATAATAAGAGTAAAAAACAGATGTGAATTCTAAATTTTTATGTCAAAAGGGTTGTACTGATAGCAATTTTTTCATTCTCTTTTATTTAGCCTTTGGAACCTATCAATGCACTTGAAGGTGGAACTATACAAATAACGGTACATTTAACTTCTGTTGGTCCTCATCAAACACGACCACAGATTCAATGGTATCATCATGCTCAACCCATTGTATCAGATGATATACATTATCGTATCATTGAAGGATATGAAACATCAACATTAGAAATAATTAATATTACAAAAGGTGATAGTGGTCAAGTATGGTGTGTTGCTAATACTCCAGCTGGATCAGCAACAACAACATGTACTATTAATGTTGAAGGTAAAAAGAAAAAAAACATAGAAAGTTACTTGAATTTACATCTTTTTTGATTCAATTATTTTATTTTCTTATAAAACAGATAAACTTGCTGATTATTAGTTTATGACTAGCTAGCAGAGCCTATCGGACTCGAATTCGATTGTATTTGAGATCAATCCAATAGGCTCTACTAGTTAAGACCAAGGTTTGAACATAGTACTTTTACAGTAACAATCGAAATTAGAATAAAACAGATCAGCTTCGATCATTAGAAATAATCTTTTATAGATTCATACTAAAAATTAAATACTAATCTCGATTTTGAAATAATTTCGCAATATTGACTTTTGTCTATCTTTTTAACATAATAGAAAATCCTGTTCGCACTTATCATCATATAATACCATCACAACAAGTCGTGCCACAAGAAACAACTTATGGTGTTCAATCGACTCATTTAACTCATGCACAAATTCCTCTTCATCATCAACAACCAGAACAAAGAGTACCAACTCAATTTTATAGCACACAAACAATAACTCAACAAGAAGTCTCCCCCCAAACGTTTACTACACAATCATATATTTCTTTTCCATCTAAACAAATACCTTCTGAACCATATGTTACACAACAATCTTCTATTCAAGTACAACAAGTACCAACTCATCCTGTAACTCCTCAACAACAGCCACCAATGTCACCTCAACCATCTGTTCCTCAAGCTCCGGCACTCTTACCTAATTTTAGTATTCGACCCGCTTATTCGGATCAACAAATTAAAATATTAAATAATGGTTTACAAGATCAACCATTATATCCGGGAGGTGAAACTGTTTTTGAATGTCAATTTAGTGGACAACCTGAAAAAATACAATGGTTTCATAATGAAGTTGAAATTATTTATAATCCTCAACAAGTATATAATAGGTAAGAGATAAGACATTTACTATAGTTTTGAAAATTTATTTAAAAAACTCGCTGAACTTTTTTCTAAACTAAATATAAACTCAATCATGTCTGATTTTAGAGTTTATCATATAACTAATATAGCAAATGGAACAACTCGACTTATTATACGATCAACATTAGAGGAAGATGTTGGAACATATTCAGTTAAACTTACTGGACCAAATAGAGAAGAAACATCAAGTGCAAAACTTATATCAGCTTGTAAAATTTTATTTATTTTTAATTGAAAAATAAAACTTGATTAATATGCCTTTTTTTTGTCTATTTTTTATTAGTACAATTTCAAAATATACAAAAGAAAAAAGTTGAACAAACACAACGAAAAGCACTTGTTCAAGAAATTGAAGAAAAACAAGTAAAACGTATGCGACCATCACAACCAATATTACATCGTGGTAGTTTTCCATCATATGGTACCAGTGATGATGATGTCTTCTATGATACGGTAAGGAAAAAAAACTATGAATGCAATCTCTCTGGGATTAAAATGTAAAGCAGGATTATTGATATCAAGACATTCTGTAACATATGTTTTAGTTTAAGATATCCAACGTTCTCATATGTTCGTGATGTAAGATGTTATGGTTAATATGTTGTACTGAGTTGGAAAGGGCATCAAACACATGTATCATAAATTCAATCTTCTTTCGTAATAATCCTACGCGGAGCTTCAATGCCGAGGATAATGAAGAAATTATCTGAGCAGTAACGTGCCATTTTAGTCTATAAGAAAGTCTTTGCATGAATAAAAAAGGCATAACAGAGTTCGCGTCTATGGATTCCTAAAACCGAGTTATGACTGTTTCACTGAAGTTTAAATTCATTTTAAGGTATTCACTGGATAATTAAAGAATAGAATTTCGACTTCCAGTTTTGTCCATAGATAGTATTGATTTTCTAAGTAAACTCAATTTTTGTTACATTTCTGTGGGAAGCGACTATTTTCTTGAAAATTCAGTATCGTGAAAAACGAATATTCGTTTCGGCTAAAACTTCAAGAATATTTAAAGGACCATTAGAACTACCTATACGCTGAGTTTTAGTTCCAAAATTCAGCGATATAATCATAATTCAGCGAGAGATGTCCATGGGTACGAATTCGTTTAAATTTTTTATAGTCATACCGAGACCTTCTTACGGATTCACTATGAATTCAAACGGCGAATCAAGGTTGAGGTAGTTTTCTCATGAATCTATCACACGCTATGATGCACTAAGGCTTTGCTAATGAGTAAAATCCGTTCAATTAACAAATCGCTTTTGACTAGAGACTATGTAAAAGCATATGAGCCAAGAGTATCATGAAAAAAGTTCGTATCTTTAACTTATTACTCTGGAGATAATACACTTTTATAGTTTTTTAAGTGAACATTACGGCTTAAAAAAACTAGTTTTCACATTTCGATTTAAAACTTTACATAAAGACACTAAATCTGTCAGTTTAAATGAGCGATATGAAAGACATATTATATCTTACGCTAGGAACAGCAACAAGATCTAACATATTCACAAAACCTATTCTCATTACGGCTTGCTTCTATACAAAATTTCACCTCAAAATTCGAAAATAAGTTTGTCTAAATCATAGAATTCATTTCAAAAGTGAGCTATTACTGCAGGAATAAGCTAAAGGCAGGAGCTGTTTTCATGGTATTCCTAGCTCACTTATGTTTGAATAATGCGCATAGTTTCGATCCAAAAGCAATTTATCATTTAAAGGAATTTTCTCCAAACTTGTCTGTCACTTCATAAATCGACAAGGTCGCAAACAAAATTTTTCAATACTTAACATATGAAACTTTCTTGAAGGGTTTTTTTCGAAGATTTTCGCATATTTTTTCTTTGTTTAGTAACTAATGTACTTTTCAAAATCATCAGATTCTAAAATACATTGTTCATAGTTTGATCACATCGATAATTACTACTAATTGATGAATTTTACACATAGCATATATTATGAATTAAAGCTTAATTGAATTAAAATAATATAGAACGATATTTTCTGAATAAGCAATAGATTTCTATAGATCTGAATATTTGCCAAAAAATATTTCTTGTTATTATATCCGTTAATTAAAAGACAATGTTTCATAATTCTAATGTAACACTTACATATCTCTTATTCTGATAGGCTAAAAATAAGTTTCACAAATTTTTTCTTAAAAAATATTAATTTTTTTTTCTTCATACAGACTCAACGTACTGCTGCTTCGCATCGACAACCAACAGTACCAACAATTAAAACTCCTTTAAAAGATACAATTGTAAAAGAAGGTCAACCAATTCACATTACATGTCAAATTCAAGGTTTTCCCAAATCTGAGGTTTGATTATCAAATTTATTTTTAAGCTTTAAAAACCAATTCATTATCTACTCTAGCTTTTCTGGTTTAAAAATAATGTTCCATTACCATTATCAGCACGACATAAAATTGCTTATGATGCTGGCAGTGGTACAATAACATTACGTATTCATGATTCGCGACCAGAAGATAGTGGCATTTATACAGTCGTATGTTTTTATTTGATATAATGTTGGTTGTTTTGTTTAGTTATAAATTTAGATTGCAAAAAATCCTCAAGGTCATGTACAAACAAGTGCTCATATTGATATTCAAGAAACACCTGCTATTGATGAAACATCTTATGTTCAACCCGATGCATTTAAATATATTGAAAAACAACCAGTAGCATCTCGTCCACAAAAACCACGACGAGAATCGGATACAACAAATTTACAACAAAAACCAGCAAAAATTCTTCGAACACCATTAAGTACATCGGTTGTTGAAGGTACTGTTGCACAATTTACTTGTCAAGTTGAAGGAAATCCTAAACCAAAAGTAATATAATTATAATAATAATATTTTTTATATTGGTTTTTTTTTGTTTTTATCTTTAAGATTGCTTGGTTAAAAGATAATAAACCTTTAATGTCTGGAACACGTTTTACAACATATTTTGATCAAACAACAAAAACAGCTGTTTTACGTATAACCGATGTTTGCAAAGAAGATCAAGGATATTATACATGTATTGTTGATAACCCATTAAATTCGGATCGAAGTACAGCTACATTACAAGTTGTTCCAGAAGTAAAAGTCGATCAACGATCATATGTCGAAACCGATGCATTTAAATATTTGGCACAAGAAAATAAACAACGTCTTACAGTTAATAAAGACGTTGATCGAAGTACAAGTGGTGTTGAAACGTAATGTTTTGTTTTCATTTTTTATTCTTCCTTTCGTTTCATTTTTGGAAACAAAGGATATGTCCTTGATATTTCACAATTGGGATAATACGATTATGTGATGATAGAGTTTTTGCTTGTTTGTCTTTATCTTCTTATGTATACAAACTTGGATCTTTATATCACTATCACAGAAACATGGATTTTCGTTCTATTCAGATTTTTCACATTCCTTAATGGAAAGTTTAAATGAAAAAAACTGTCAAAACGCTTTTTTGTTATCTGCAAAATGTTCAGACTGCAGATCTGATCCTAGTTGGACATAGATGTTTGGATTAAACTTATAGCCAATAAGGAGAAAAGCTGTTTTCGCAATGCATACACGATTAAAATGTGAAATACGATGTCATTACTGTTGCTAATCACAGAGAGATCGGCTTAGTCCATCTACTTTGGCATACATTTTCTCACCATTCTTTGACTTAATCCCTCAGAAATACAATAAGGCAGTAGCTTATATATTAGAATGAGACTTTGTTAATATACGGTATGTGATGGGAAGAAGCCACCTCTTTACAGACCTTATCCATTGGAGTCTAATGACATTAGGTATGTATATTTCTCTAGCAGCTGAGGATAATAGAAGCTATACTCTTTTCCTATAAATTCTTAGCAACAGAGAAAAAGTGCTGGACAACATAGTTCTATATGTTAACCTCAATGCTCATGTTATTTTTTACTTTGACACTTCAAGGATTTTCTTTCGACTATAATAACAATATATTTATTATTCATTAATACGGTTATTTCTTAATGCCTATTTACTTGTGTTTTATATTTGAATTCAAAACATCTATTTAATATAATAAATTATTTTCTTTATCGTTTTAGTGAATCATTTGTCAGTCCAGAATCATTTCGTTATTTAGAAGCTAAAAAACCCACAAAACAAGTTGATGATAATATAGCAATTGATGATCGACCAATTGTTGATCTGGAAGCAATTCGCTATTTAGAAGCTCGACAAGCTTCAAAAGTCAAAAAAGATACTGATGTTCGAGCATCTATTGATGATACACCAATCATAGCACCAGATGCATTTCGATACTTAGAAAGAAAAACTGAAGCAGCTAAAATTAAAAAAGATCAAGACATAGGTCCATTAATTGATGAAACACCACAAGTTGATTTAACAGCATTTCAATATTTGGAACGAAAAGGTATACCAAAAAAAGTCGAAGAATCAGGACCAAAAATTGATGAATCATCTATTGTTAATCCTGAAGCATTCAAATATTTAGGTAAATTTAAATAAAATCTATAGTCTTTTTTTTCTTTCATTTATAAAATATTTTTTTAGAACGTAAACCAATAAAAAAAGTTGAAGATGTTGGTCCATTAATTGATGAAACGCCAATTGTTAATCCAAATGCATTTCGTTATTTAGAACGACAAGCTATACCACAAGTACGTGATACAGCACCAGCAATTGATACAACACCATTAGTTAATCCTGAAGTATTTAAATATTTGGAAAGACCTTCAGAACCTACTCGAGTTGATGAAGGTCCATCAATTGATACTCGACCTATTGTACCACAAGAAGCATTTCGTTGGCTTGATCGTCCAAAACCTGTTGAACGTATACCAGAAGGACCAGTTGTTGATGAAAGTTCATATGTTAATATACAAGCATTTCGTTATATTGAAGCAAAACCAAAAACAAAAGTTATCGATGAAGGACCAACAGTTGATGAAAGTGCATATGTTAATCCACAAGCATTTCGATATTTAGAAGCACCACTGACAAAAAAACATGTTGATGAAGGACCTGTTATTGATACATCAACATATGTTAATCCAGAATTGTTTGCACATTTTGAACTGAAACCAGCTCCTCAAAAACCAACTGATGATCGAGAAATCAAGCGAGTACCAAGAGTTATTCAACCATTAAGAAATACACAAGCTAATGAAGGAAAACCTATTGCATTAGTTGCTATTGTTGATGGTTATCCAGTACCACAGGTATACAGAGCAAAAAGAATCATACTAAATTCATATTATTAGATGGTATGAATATTAAGAAAAAGAAATGAAACTACATCTAATGAGTCTCTCAGTGATTTATTAATTGCTTAAGTATTTAAATGATTCATCTATTTTTAAATAATTTCAAGGAAATATCGAGAAAAAAACACTAAAAGGAAAATATTCAGGAAATCATGAGTGCATGTCTGACATCGAATCAAGAAAACGATTCAATCTGTTAAAATCCCTTATAGATAAGATACAAATTATCCAATTACCAAGATAGAAAAAAAACGTCCAAACATTTCGTTATGTATAACAAACGCTAGAAAACAGTGTCTAAATTTTAACACTCCTACTCAAAATGCTATAAACGAACATGTATTAACTTTTTCTTACAAACTTAATCATATATATTAGAATTTTCAATTCATATGCGAGTTGATGTGTATTAATATTGTTCAAAGGCAATATCAAGTTTTCAAGAGTGAAGTGTATCATAATGTTCCGCTCATATAAATCCAGAGTATATGGCAGCCACCCATAAAATTATAGTTAGAGTCGTACAAAGACATCAATATTTGCATAGTGACTTCTAAAATGATGCACCCAGATTTATGTTACACTTTTTTCCACTACCGTATCCACTAGTAAGAATCCAAACGGTAATTTGTGTAGAGAATAATACTTCCGAAAGATGAAAATGATTGATAGTTTTCTAATGATGAAAGCTCTAGAAAAATAAAAAAAACACAATTTTTCAGCTCTTAAAATTTGTAAAATAACATTCTGCATGAATTATTCAGAATGATAGCGGACAGCACAATAGTTGTTTTTTTCTATTATTTCATTTGGTATTATCTCTCTTTTTTTAGTTAACATGGCTTAAAGATGGTGCTGAATTACCAGCGTCAACTCGTGTAACAACAAATTATGATATTCCATCAAAAACTGCATGGATACGTATTGATAGTGTTCGACCGGATGATACTGCCGTCTATACATTAATAGCTCATAATCCAGCTGGTGATGTCCGAAGTGATGCTCGTCTTAATGTTGTACCAAGTATGACACCAATTGATGATACAGCATTTGTACCAGCTGAAGCATTTGCAAAAATTGAACGTGCAACAACAAAACGTCCAAATATTCCTGAAACAACAGGTGTTGATGATACATCATTTATTAATCCAGAATTATTTCGACAATTTGAATTACCACTTAAACAATCTACAGAAAAATATACTGATGAAGTTGTTATTCAAGTACCAGCACGTATAATAGCACCATTAAAATCAATTCAAGCACCAGATAATGTTACAGTAGTTTTAGAAGCTATTGTTGAAGGTAGTCCAATACCAACATTTACATGGTTAAAAGATCAATTACCATTAAGTGAAAGTAATCGTTTTATAACAAATTATGATTTACCTAGTAAACATGTTACATTAACAATAAAAGATGTACGTGAAAGTGATACAGGAGTATATACATTATTAGTATCAAATGGTCCACAAGTAAATTTTTGTTTTTTAATAGAAAAAAAAATTATTATTATTATTATTTTTTTTCATTTTAAAAGCTTCATCATTCATCAGCTACATTACATATTATTGGTGCACCTTCAATTGATCAATCATCATTTATACCTATGGATGTTTTTAAACAATTAGAACATCCACAAAGTCAACAAAAACAAATCATTGTTCAAGCTGGTGTTGATCAAACATCATATATTTCACAGCCAGATCGTTTTGCTGTATTTGATCAAATACTACCGCATAAACGACCATTAAATGAATTTGGCGGCGTTGATGAAACACCACTTATTAATATGGAAAAAATACGTTTATTAGAAATTCCATCAAATCAAGCTAAACAACCATATGATATTGAAGAAAAAGTACAGGCACCAAATGTTTTAGCACCACTTCAACCAATTGATGCACAAGAAGGTAGTCCTGTTGTTTTAACAGCAAAAATTGATGGTACTCCAATGCCTAATGTGAGTAAAATTAATAATAAATGATATCGATATTATTTCTCAGAAATCTGGATCATTATCTCGTAGAAATTTATTCTTCTTATTTAATTTTATAGTAATTGCTTTCTTGAGACTGCTAACTTGTCCATATTAAATATAAGTGATAAGATGAAGTATTTAAGAGTAAACATATTTTCTTTAACAACGACTTAAGTTGAAGACAAGCATAGGACATTATTTGTAGCTTGTTCCTGTTCTATAGGGTAGAACATTATGCCCTCGACTAAAGAGAGGGCCATATGAAATAAAATTCAGTTGTAAGTTTCCAGGCACGTGCCAAGTCACGCATTCATTTGTATCAACATCAGTTTCAAGTATCTATCTGAGACCCAGCTCACTTTCTATCAATTTTTTCTATGTTAATAGTGCATGGTCTGACAACTTGTATGTGTATGAATATGCTTGGTTGAATAGGTACAAAGATGTATCACTCCGCATACATAGTCACACTCACACTCGTCCCCATGAATACATTAGGTATTAGTATCGATTGAACCCTATAAAGTTATATATTGTAAGAACTGCGGTGAGTTTTGATAGAAGTACTAGTATGAATGAAACTATGCTTTACTCAGCCTGTTCACATCATCAATCGCATCGTTATATCAAAAGTACCTATAAATACAATTTTGGTTTGAAAGTTTTTGTGTTGGATTTTTCTGAAATGTTTCGCTCGTCATAGAAGTTTCATTAAAATTGCCATGAGCTCGAGTCCTGTGAAACTGCTCTTAGTCTCATCGAGTTCTAATCGTAGCCATAATCTGAAATCAAACAGTGTCCGATAGTTGAATACATTCTCTGATTAGTTATTTTTCTATAGTGCTAATAGGATATTTTTGTAAGCAATTAGATTTTTCAGAATTACAACTGATTGTTGTATACTCAATTAGAGCTGTTGACCTAATCTGCCGCCTATGAGGTCTAAATTATTGACTTGGCTCATACATTTCGGAAATGAAATTTATTTGAGAATAATTCGACTAATTCATTTGATTCTAACAACAAATGTTTTAACTGAACGTCAATCTAGTATTGTAAGACGTCCATTAACTGAAAGACAAATAATAGAAATGCAGAGGTACAAAATTCAATACATTCAAAAAAAATCAGGAATATCAATATGCCTAGAGGCATTCCAAACCAGGCTATAAACAAAAAAAATCTCTGAACCCGATTTATGTCTTTTCTCCTCTAAATTTATTTTTGTTTATTTTTCTAGTTTACATGGTTTAAAGATGATGCACCATTAGTTGCTTCATCGCGTTTTACAACTTATTATGATATTCCATCAAAATTAATTATTTTACAAATAAATGATGCACGTCCAAATGATACAGGTATTTATACTGTACGAGCTGACAATAAATCAGGTACTGTAACAACATCAGCTACGCTTCATATATCAAGTTTACCATCAATACGTGATCAATCATTTATTTCAACTGATAAATTTTATCGTCTTGAACAAGGAAATCAACCGCGTTTTATTGAAGAAACAAGTGGTGTTGATGAACGTCCACTTGTTGATTTAACTAAATTACAACAATTAGAAATCAAACCAAATAAATTTATTGAAGAAGAACAACCAATTGAACAATTTAAACCAAGTATTCTTATACCATTACGTAATGTTCAAGCTGTTGAAAATCAACCAGTTGTTTTATCAGCACAAATTCAAGGAAAACCACAACCACAATTCGTTTGGTTTAAAAATAATCAACCACTTTCTGAAGGCAATCGTTTTCGTACACATTATGATATACCATCAAAAACAATATTTCTTACAATAGCTGGTGCACGTGAAGATGATTCTGCTATATATCGTTTAATCGCACAAAATCCATCTGGACAAGATGAAACATCATGTGAAGTTCATGTTAATATAAATCAACCAATTATTGATCAACGTTCATTTGTACCACAAACAGCATTTGAAAAACTAGAAAAACCTATGTTAAAACCAAGTGATGTAACAAGTGGTGTTGATCAAACAAGTTTTTTTAATCAAGAATTATTTCGTCCATTTGATGAACAACCAATTAAACATACATCAGCTATTGTTGGTGGTGAAGAGAGTGAAGCTGTTATGCCAATAACAGCACCAAAAATATTTACACCCTTACGTCCAATAACAACATCAGAAGGTAATACAGTTTTATTAACAGTACAAGTTGAAGGTTATCCATTACCACAATTTACTTGGTTTCTTAATAATCAACCATTAATGGCATCAAATCGTGTTACATCACATTATGATATGTTAACAAAGCGTTGTTTTCTACAAATACTTGATAGTCGTCCAAGTGATACTGGTACATATGAATTAATAGCTGAAAATCCAGCTGGTCAAGATCGTACAAAAACAGAATTAACAATTGTACCTGTATCAAAAATAGATCAAACTGGTTATGTACCATATGATAAATTTTCAACATTAGAATTTAAACCACGTATACCAAGTGATCTTCGTTCAGGTGTTGATGCAACACCATTTGTTAGTGGTGAAATATTTCGTTTATTAGAAGCAAAACATATTAATGAACCAATTGTACCTGAAGAGGAACAAAATTTACCATTAGAAGTTCTTGTACCATTAAAATTAGCTGTTGCACAAGAAGGACAACCAGTTATATTAACAACTAAAATACGTGGAAGACCAGTACCACAAGTAAATAATTGAATAAAGAATAATTTGATTAGAGAATTTTCTTTTTTTTTCTTTTAGTTTACTTGGCTTCGTAATAATCAACCATTATTAGAATCAAATCGTTTTCAAACACATTATGATTTTCCTTCAGAAACACTTGTATTAGAAATAAGTGATATTTGGCCACATGATTCAGGTAAAAAATTTATAAAGAATGAATGACCTCAACTTTGATTTAACAAGTGTTAAATCATCAGCTAGATACGAAAATTTTAAATCTATATTGGGAAGTTTTCATTATTAAATTGTTGAGATTAAGAATACTACATGTTTTAGTACTTAAACAAAAAATATTAGGACTAGATACGGAAATCTTTAAATTCTAAAATCACTAAAAACTGGTATTGTAAGAAGCTGGAAATATAAAGTTTCCAAAACGATCTTTGAAATCCTTTTTTCGAATTTTCCACAATACGAAGTTTTAGATCATATTTACTTTGAATTTTGCCTTCAATTATCATTATTAACCAATACTATTTTCTCAGAAACAGATATCTAATCTGATCTTATAATATTATTATTATCACAGAAAAAAAAAACTAATGCAATTAAACCTGACTACAATCATTTGTCTTTTTTGCTATAGGAAACTATACAGTGATTGCTCACAATCCAAAAACAGGTGAACGTGCTGAAACATCAGCTCCATTAGTCGTACGTAGCGATACAACACCTGTTGATTATACAGCATTCGTCGCTCCGGATGCATTTCGAACATTAGAAGCAGGACCAAATCTACGTACAGTTTTTGTTGAACCAGGTGTTGATACCCAAAGTTTTCTTACTCCTGATGTTTTAAAAACATTAGATCAAGTAAAACCAAAACCAATGGATGTAGATGAAAAAGAGCAACCACGTATAGCACCAAAAGTTGTTGTTCATTTACAACCAATTAAATGTAATGAAGGACAACCAATTAATTTTATAGCTAAAGTAGAAGGCAATCCTCATCCAGTGGTAAGACACAAACAAAAAAATTAAACAAATCTATTTTCTTTTTTTCGTGACTATTTTCTTTAGTTTACATGGTTTAAAAATGATCAACCACTTCAAGAATCAAATCGATTTTGGACACATCATGATGTGCCTAGTAAAACAGTTCTTCTACAAATTAATGGTGCTCGGCCAGATGATAGTGGTAAATATGTTCTTGTTGCTAAAAATCCACTTGGTCAAGATCAAACACAAACAACAGTCAATGTTACATTTGGTCCAGCCATCGATACAAATGGTTTGAAAATATTTATTTAAGATTTTATCATTACTAAAAATACGTTTACTTTTTTTAGCATTTGTTTCACCAGAAAAATTTGCTGCATTTGATTTACCATATACTCGACATGTTCCATTACAATCAGGTGTTGATACAACACCATTTGTGCAACCAGAACGCTTTACACAATTAGAACTTAAAGCACCAGCTCCAACAAAAGAAGAAATGGAACATATGGAAGCGCCGAAAATTGTTACGCCTTTACAAAGTGTACAAGTTAATGAAGGTTCACCTGTTCTTCTTCAAGCAACGATTGTTGGAAAACCAAGACCTAATGTAAGACCTTATTACATACAAACACAAAATGTTTATCTCATTTTTTTCTTTTAGTTTGTTTGGTTGAAAGATAATGTTCCATTGGTAGCAGGAAATCGCCTTCGTACACGTTATGATATTGCTACTAAGCAAGTTTTACTACAAATTAATGATGTTCGTCCACAAGATATTGGTGAATATGTTGTTATTGCAACAAATCCAGCTGGTCAAGATTCAACAATATGTTCATTAAATGTCGTACCAGATAAAAAAGGTGTTGATGAACGAGCTTTTGTACCACAAGATAAATTCCGTAATTTGGAAGCTCCTGAAGGAAAAGGAAGACGACCATTAGAAATAGTACCTGGTGTTGATGTTCAACCATTTGTTTCACCAGAAAAATTCCGTAAATTGGATCATGTTGAACCAGTCGAAAGACCAGAAAGAGAATTACAAGAACCAAAACGAGCACCACGCGTCCTTGCACCATTAAGCAATTGTGACCTAGAGGAACTAATGCCTGTACTACTAACGACTACAATTGATGCTGGAATGCCAATGGCTACAGTAAGGATTGCTTTATCTTATTGCGAAGTGAAACTTTATCAGCATTAATATAAAACAAGGTGTTGTGTAGGGAAATAATAAATTTTTCATAGAGGAAAGTTTAGTGTTAAATTATACTCATCGAAGATTACCGGTTGACACATTTTCTTCGCCAAACAAATGTTTTATTACGCTGTCCTATCTACTCAGCAAGTTTTCTTCATATTTCTCAAACTTATCCCGACAAAAGAAATCTCTTAACAGTTGTAAATATTCTCAAGCTCAATTCAAGCTGGTAAAAGCTATTGTTGCGTGATTGTTCAATTTTTATTGCAAAAATATATCTTGAAACTTTCTAGTACAAAAGAAAAACCTATTTTAATCAAAAAATTGAACAGTCATCTAAACAAGTTTATATGTAATCTTCCATATTACAATAGTTCAAACAGAAGGGTTTTTGTGAAAATTTCCACAAAATTTTGTTACAATATTCTTATGAGGATAAATATCAAAATTTATATTTCTCGTTTTTTTTATTGATCGTGTTTGAATCCAAAGTCTATTGACTTTTATCGTGTATTTGTCTCTTTTGACTAGCTCTTAACATACGAGTACACGATCAAATTCGACTTTCTCTATTTTTAGTTTACTTGGTTCAAAAATGGTCAACCACTTCTTGAAGGCAATCGATTTACTACCAAATATGACATTTTAACAAAAACATTGACATTACAAGTACTTGCTGCACGACCTGATGATCAAGGAACTTACACAGTTCGTGTAACAAATCCTTCTGGTACTGATGAAACAACATGTAAACTAACAATTCGACCAATTGCTTCAATCGACACACGACCTTTCGTACAGCCAGAACGTTTTGCACAATTAGAACTCAAAGCTCCAGCTCCAACAAAAGAAGATATGAAACAAATGGAAGCACCAAAGGTTATTGTACCTTTACAAAGTGTACAAGTTAATGAAGGTTCACCTGTTCTTTTTCAAGCAACGATTGTTGGAAAACCAAGACCTAATGTAAGACCTCATTACACACAAGCACAAAATTTTTATATCTTTCTCTTTTTAGTTCGTTTGGTTGAAAGACAATAAACCATTAGCAGCTGGAAATCGTCTTCGTACACGTTATGATATTGCTACTAAGCAAGTTTTATTACAAATCGATGATGTTCGTCCACAAGATATTGGTGAATATGTTGTTATTGCAACAAATCCAGCTGGTCAAGAATCAACAATATGTTCATTAAATGTCGTACCAGATAAAAAAGGTGTTGATGAACAAGCTTTTGTACCACAAGATAAATTCCGTAATTTGGAATATCCTGAAGGAAAAGGAAGACGACCATTAGAAATAGTACCTGGTGTTGATGTTCAACCATTTGTTTCACCAGAAAAATTCCGTAAATTGGATCATGTTGAACCAGTCGAAAGACCAGAAAGAGAATTACAAGAACCAAAACGAGCACCACGTGTCATTTCGCCATTAATTAATTGTGAATTAGAAGAACTCATGCCTGTATTACTTACAACTACAATTGATGCTGGTGTCCCAATGGCCACAGTAAGGAAGCTTCTTTTTGGTTTTTCGTGAACGAATAACAGTCCGGAAAGTTATAGAAAGATCGTATAAGAATGACTCACCAGTGAAAAGCAATCAAATATGAATGCATTCTTATGCAGTTGGTTTCTGTTTCAATATGATCTTGTGATCTGAAGCCACTTTAAGTGTTTATAGTTTTGCCTTTTTTTCAGTGGCTTCGCAAAACCTGATTTCCAATTAACCCTTGTGTCCCTATCGACACTGTGTTAGGACATTGCTGTAGCTTAAGGATTGTAGTAAATATGGAGATAAAGATAAGTGTTTGTTTTTTCACTGTTCAACTCAGAACTGATGTAGAAGTCGTTCAAGCATCGATACATTGAACATTATTACGATTTTTAATCAATGAGACATTCAATTCGTTAAGAAACTGAGTGTATTATGCTAAAGATATTTTTTTCAGATAGCGCATCTCATCAAACGAGAGATTTGCTACTTACTAGTGTTCATCTATTTATCATAAAAACTGATACAAGACTAGAGTGAATGTGGCCATACTATTGCATCAATGATAAAAATAATGAAAATAACGATTCGTTCAGTAAAGTGAGAGTATAGAAATTAAACAAAGATGATTGCGATTAATTGATTGAAGATACACTTAGACATAAAATGAGCGATGGACAGCAAAATATCAAAAGCATGATTCCAAAAATTCAGGCTGAGCTGCATGGCAATTGTTTATTTCAGTTAACGCAACTAATGTGTCCTCTATTAAGAATGAAGCAGGAATGTATCATCTTCAGCATAAGACCTGGAAAGGTGAGAAACACACAAAAGTTGATACAAATTATGATTATCTGCAGAATATGCTTCTAAGGTAGAATTCCAATATCGATAAACTTTATCATTCGAATTCTATTTATTACTTGCTTGCTTATCAAACCCAGTACTGACGCGCGAAGAACTCAACGTTGTAGACGTAGTCTTTATTATCGAAATCATCGAACTTCAATTTCTCTTTACCTAACACACACAAATTTAATTTTCCATAATTTTTTCTTGTTTTTTCATGCCATTAATAACGAAACTGTTAATTTCAGTTCACTTGGTTCAAAAATGGTCAACCACTTCTTGAGGGCAATCGATTTACTACTAAATATGATATTTATACAAAAACATTGACATTACAAGTACTTGCAGCACGACCTGATGATCAAGGAACTTACACAGTTCGTGTCACAAATCCATCTGGAACTGATGAAACAACATGTAAACTAACAATTCGACCAATAGCCTCAATTGATACACGACCATTTATACAACCAGAATACTTTACACAATTGGAACTCAAAGCTCCGGCTCCAACAAAAGAAGATATGAAACAAATGGAAGCACCGAAAGTTGTCGTACCATTGAAAAGTGTACAAGTTAACGAAGGATCACCTATTCTTCTTCAAGCTAAAATTGTTGGAAAACCTACACCTAATGTAAAAATCTTGCATAAAGAAAGAAAATATTTATTTCTTTTGTTTTTTTTTCTAGTTTGTTTGGTTGAAAGATGGTGCACCATTAGCGGCTGGAAATCGTCTTCGTACACGTTATGATATTGGTACTAAACAAGTTTTATTACAAATTGATGATGTTCGTCCACAAGATATTGGTGAATATGTTGTTATTGCAACAAATCCAGCTGGTCAAGATTCAACAATATGTTTACTAAATGTTTTACCGGATAAACCAGGTGTTGATGATCGAGCTTTTATTCCTCAAGATAAATTCCGTAACTTGGAAGCTCCTGAAGGAAAAGGAAAACGACCATTAGAAATTATACCTGGTGTTGATGTTCAACCATTTGTTTCACCAGACAAGTTCCGTAAATTGGATCATGTTGAACCAGTCGAAAGACCAGAAAGAGAATTACAAGAACCAAAACGAGCACCTCGTGTCATTGCACCATTAAGTAATTGTGACCTAGAGGAACTTATGCCGGTACTATTAACAACTACGATTGATGCTGGTGTGCCAATGGCTTCAGTAAGAAAATTTTCTTTGTTCTCTCGTTAACAATTAATAGTTCGATTTAGCTTAACTTTACTAAAATATGGGTATAGATAGATTTCACTCGAATTTATCAGTGATGGAATGCTGTGGCATAGTAACTGTATTGATATAGGTCTTGTTGAGTTTATTTGATTGTTGTTTCATAGAGACTGATGACCTGAAAAGTTAAAATGATTTCAGCAGTGTTTTTTTTTTCAATCATTTCGTGAACCCTTACTTTCATGAACGTTAATATTTAGAATGACAAGCAGAGTGAAAATCTCTGCACCTTAGGGTTTTGAATGGACGCTGGGATAGATATTAGTGTTCAGTTTTCGACTGTTCGAGTAAAAACTGGTATAAAGATGCTTTAAGCATACAATTGATCACTTGATATGTATATTTTCACGACTGTCAATAAACGAGCAATCTAGTGATGTAGGTTAATGGGGTGCAACTAAAATAAGCCACACTCATTGAGGACAAAGCTATAGAACACTGATAAAACCAGTATGGTTTTTTCAATATTATATTACTTAAATTGGAATAGCCGATTGATCCAACATAGTGAAGGAAAAGAAATACAGTAAAGCTTCTCGACATAAAATAATGTAATTTTAACTAAAACGACATGAGCTAGAGACTCTTATTTGAATCAGAGGTCAACAATACATTAAAAGCGCCCTGCTCCCATGATTACGTATGCATTGGACAGCATTTGTTAAGTTTTACTTACATAGGTCCTAACTTAATGAAAACTGATTTTGGCCATTCACGCGTATTTATCACAGCCAGAGCCCATTGCTATCATGGCCTAGATCAAAAATCTTTACCTATGCCGAGCAATATTCCTTTTAATTACAGAACTATCTATCGGATTATTATGATCGCAGGCTCAGACGAATAGCACAAAGGCGATATATGAAAAAAGAATGCAAAGTGCTGTTTCCAGGGCAAGATCAAACATATGTGATACATAGAAATAGGGAAATTTTGCATGCATTTGCCACAAAGAAATAGAAAAACACCAACTCTATATGAAAAGGGTAATTACAGAGAACAGACAACACGAGACAGATGAGAAGTTTCAATAAACAAGCAAGGAAAATAATAACAATACATATGCCAAAAAACTACAGAAAGAGTCAGTCGAATAGTGTTCTGATACGAGACAATTTTAAGATCTATACTTGCAGTGAAAACTTGCATGCAGTACTAAATATTACAGAGATCATCCTCATTGGTCAAATGACGAAATTCTAACTTTTCTCAAGTCAAAAGGGTAAAGATTTTATTTATCACAACTTTTCATCGGTTTTAGTATTCATATATATTTTTACTCCAAGTTCTCTTTTGATGCATATCAGAAAAACCTGAACGTTTATTTTTAGTTCACTTGGTACAAGAATAATAAACCACTCCTTGAAGGCAATCGATTTACTACTAAATATGATATTTTAACAAAAGTTTTAACATTACAAGTACTTGCTGCACGACCTGATGATCAAGGAACTTATACAGTTCGTGCAACAAATCCATCTGGAACTGATGAAACAACATGTAAACTAACAATTCGACCAATCGCTTCCATTGATACACGACCATTCATACAACCAGACCACTTTGCACAATTAGAGCTCAAAGCTCCAGTTCCAACAAAAGAAGACATGGACCACATGGAACCACCGAAAGTTATTGTACCTCTAAAACCTGTACAAGTTAACGAAGGATCACCTATTCTTCTTCAAGCTAAAATTGTTGGAAAACCTACACCTAATGTAACATTTTATTTCAGAGAAAGAAAATGTTAATTTCTTGTGTCTTTTTTAGTTTGTCTGGTTGAAAGATAATGTTCCATTGGCAGCAGGAAATCGTCTTCGTACACGTTATGATATTGGTACTAAACAAGTTTTATTACAAATTGATGATGTTCGTCCAAACGATACTGGTGAATATCATGTCATCGCAACAAATCCAGCTGGTCAAGATTCAACAATATGTTCAGTAAATGTCGTACCAGAAAAACCAGGTGTTGATGAACGAGCTTTTGTACCACAAGATAAATTCCGTAATTTGGAACATCCAGAAGGAAAAGGACGACGACCACTAGAAATTATACCTGGTGTTGATGTTCAACCATTTGTTTCACCAGAAAAATTCCGTAAATTAGATCATGTTGAACCAGTCGAAAGACCAGAAAGAGAATTACAAGAACCAAAACGAGCACCACGTGTTATTTCGCCATTAATTAATTGTGAACTAGAAGAACTCATGCCCGTAATACTTACATCTACGATTGATGCTGGTGTGCCAATGGCTTCAGTAAGGATTCTTTATTGTTTTCTCCTAAGCGAATAACAGTTCGAAAATGTATAGAAAGATCAAAATTGAATTTACCGTCGGTGGGTCGCTGTCAAATGAGGATATGTCATGTTAAATTTCATCAAGTCACATTGTTTTAATAGAGTCTGGTGACTTGAAAGAGTACACATGATTTCAATTGTGTTTTTCTTCCAAATAATTTTCTGCAATCTTACTGTCAATGAACATTGATGTGTATCATAATAGATTTAAAACAAACATCCCTGCAATCTATGGATTGCCATAATGATAGTCACATTCTTAGAAGCTTGTATTCATAATGATGAGCTGTTTTTTCTCAATATATGTATCATAGCTAGTTGTAGTATGTATCAATCGTTGGATGTGAAGTAATGAGAATAGCTAAAACAAAGTACGTAGACTGATTACAGCCAAATGAATTCACCACCAATAAAAAAAAAGTTTGGTTTTTCAACATACTAGAACCTGAATACAAAAGGTGATTAGTTCAAGATAGTGTATGAAAAGAAATCCAACAAAGTTGATCTAAATAATAAAAGACAGCTTTAACCAAGTTAGAGTGATGTATAATTCTTGATTCGAATGAGTGAGAGACGAAAAAATAACAAAAGCAATCTTGTGACGATTCCATACGAGCAGCATCGCATATGCGAACCTTATCTAATACATTTGATGCCCTTTCTATAAGGAAACATGCAAAAGACCATCATCACAGAAGTGAGGAGAAGAGGAGAAGAAAAGCACACAAAACTTATTACGGATTATGTTCGTGTACAGAGAGCATTTGTCAGATAGAACTTTGATAGAGAAAAGTTTTATTGGCAAACTGGTCTTAATAACTTAGTTGAACGTCGAATATAATACTACTGCATAAAGTAATAGCACGTTACACTGACATACTCTTCAATAGCGAAACGACAAACCTACAAGTGCTTGATAACCTTCGTTTGTTTTTTTCGACGTTTCCTTTTATTACATGTAAATAAAAACGAAATCTATATTTTAAGTTCACTTGGTATAAAAATGGTCAACCACTTCTTGAAGGCAATCGATTCACCACTAAATATGATATTTATACGAAAATATTAACATTACAAATTCTTGCTGCGCGTCCTGATGACATAGGAACTTATACAGTTCGTGCAACGAATCCGTCTGGTAGTGATGAAACAACATGTAAACTAACAATTCGACCAATTGCTTCAATCGATACACGACCATTCATACAACCTGAAACCTTTGCACAATTAGAGCTCAAAGCTCCAGCTCCAACCAAAGAAGAGATGGAACACATGGAACCACCAAAAGTAGTCGTACCACTGAAAAGTCTACAAGTTGATGAGGGAGCACCTGTTCTTCTTCAAGCAACTATTACTGGAAAACCAAGACCTAAGGTAAGACTTTATTACGGGACGAAGAAAATTTTTATTTTTCGCATCTTTTTCAAGTTTGTTTGGTTGAAAGATAATAAGCCATTAGCAGCATCAAATCGTCTTCGTACACGTTACGATATTGCTACAAAACAAGTTTTATTACAAATTGATGATGTTCGTCCACACGATATAGGTGAATATGTTGTCGTTGCAACAAATCCAGCTGGTGAAGATTCAACAATATGTTCATTAGGTGTTGTACCAGATAAAACACGTGTTGATGAGCGACCTTTTGTACCACAAGATAAATTCCGTAGTTTGGAAGCTCCTGAAGGAAAAGGACCACGACCATTAGAGATAGTACCTGGTGTTGATGTTCAACCATTTGTTTCACCAGATAAGTTCCGTAAACTAGATCATGTTGAACCATCGGCGAAACAAATCGAAGAAGTACCAGAACCTAAACGAGCACCACGTGTTATTGTACCATTAAGTAACTGTGAACTGGAAGAACTTATGCCTGTGTTACTAACAACTACGATTGATGCTGGTGTCCCAATGGCTACAGTAAGAATTGTTTCTTTCTTTGTTTTTTTCTGGCAAACAATTAGCAGTTCGATCTAGTTCGGATTTACTAAAAGAAAAGATTTAGAAATATCGAAGAACTTCTCGATAGCAGAACGCTATCCAGTAAGGATACATTGGTATAATCGATTGTTTCTTGTTTCACTCTGGTGTTCTGCATTTTAAAAAGACAAAATGATATCGGTAGATTTAATTGTTGGTAAATATTGATGCTTGTATTTATAGACACTACAGTTTTGTTTTCAAGAATAGCCATTATATACTGCTTTTTCCTAGTTTTGAAAGCTTGAAAATTATATGATTATGAGTAAATATGCAACACTTGGTGAAACATGATCTTTCAAAGTAAAGATCATCATCTATCTAACAAGAAAATGAATTAGTTTCATATCGCTTTCTGTTTGTTAAAAGCTGAGCCCGGCATTTATCCAAGAATTTCCGCAACACCAATTCAATTATTGAAAAATAGATAAAAAAATATTGCAAATCGTTCAATAACATAGTGTAAAAAACGAAGTCTAAGAAACTCCATGAAGTTAAAATAGCATGATTTTAACAAAAATATAAGAATACATGAGAAGTAGAGAGTACTCAAAAACCATCGTTCTAACTGTTCCATATGAGTAATGTCGCATGTGCAAATTCTCTTTGAACCATTTGATGTATCACCTATTCGGAAACATGAACAATCATATCAATGGTAGAGACAAGAATTGGAACATACTAATTGATTACTACTTGATTACTGATTGACAAATAATACGAACTGAATGTGATATCATACATACTTAATTTATAAAAAGAAACACGGACTAAATATGAAACAGTGAATTCCCTCTCAGTGCAAAACTAATAATCGAATGATCGAGGTCAAGGGTTTACAAATACTTCACAAACAAAATACATAAGCAATGCGTGAAAAATGCATTTTAAACAGGAAGAACAAACATACATTATATAAATCAAACGAAAAACTAAAGCATACCACATATGTATGATTGTAAAAGT